TAGTTTGTATAAGTTCATTCTATTATATTTGTACAGTGATGGAACTGAGGCACTTCGCATACTTCCCCGTAATTAAGCAATGCACAACTGTAAAGAGAGAAAAACTGCTGCAGCATTTAATAAGAGCTATTCCAAATGCAGGGAATTACTGACATTCATGTACACGTATACACATGTATTAATATATGTGATATTAATGTATTTAACATACTTATGTATAATAAAATGTATTTTGCATATAAATTATGTATTATATATATAAAATAAAAATACATACATGTTCCATATAAAATTTGAAAAAAACAGGACTAAATTTAAATTCTAAAAAGTGAAATACTTAGCTGGCAGTCTCAATTTCTGAAATGCTTCATGACATGTATTTATTTTTCTCAACTGCACACAGCATTATTCAGCAAAATTATGCCCAACTCACTTTAACACATTCTGCACAAGGATGCCCGCGACGACCCCCATGGTGGTGGGAAGACTGGCTGCACAGACACCTTCTCGCTTCAGAGTCTTCTCATCGATGTTTGCGGCAACCACAAGTGGGGGCGCACACTACATCAAAAGCGTAAAGAAAACAGTTTGAAGAGAAATAGGGAAGAGAATGAGATGCCCCAAGTAGCAGTCCATCATGCTAGAGATGGTTTTCCTTTGACTTGCAATCCGCTTTCAGTTCCCCTTAGAATACTAGCACCTAACAAAGAAAAAGGTTCCAAAATAAATGATTCGTACCGCAAAACAAGCAGATTCTCCAGGAATTATCAGCTGGATATGCCCTGAAACCGCATTTTCACTGACTCCAGATTCCATCCATGTTTGTCCAAGTTCATTACAAGCCTTAATAGAAACAGGTAAAAACACAAGGAAGAAAATGAAAGAACACAAAATAATTTCAGTAAGTTTTCTGTGGAATATTAGGCTGTAACTCACTGGCCCACCAAAAATTTCTAAAACTTAATTTTTCCAGATGAAAGAAGACTGCATGTAACTGAATTTCCTGATAATTACCATGCTCTATTAAAGAGCAAACTGTCAGTATTCAAGAAGCAGACAGTAAATAATTACTGATTAAACTGAACTATAGTTTCAGATTTCTTGTCCAATTAAAGGAAAATGTTGTATTTTTTAAATTTCAGGAACAGGGCCAGTGAGATAGCTCAGTGGTCTAAAGCAGCCTGCTTAGGCAAGCTTAGGCAGGCGCAGGGAACCACGGTTCTACCCTGGGCACCACATGCCCTGCCAGCCCCGCCCTCACGATGGGATGAGCCAGCCAAAAAAATAAAATAAATAAAATAAAATAAAATTTCAGCAACAAAAACTGTAAAATGTCACCTCAATAATTAAAACTTGAAAAGATTTTTATTTTTGAGAACTGTAATCCACTTTCAATTCCCTTTAGCATGCCAGTACCTAACAATGAAAAATGAGAAGTTAGGAGTTTGAGTTTTGAGAAGTTGTTTTTAGTCAGTGTATTCACACATTTACATAAGGTAAAATTTTAAAGCCAATGGTGATTAAGAATACATATTACAAACTACTGATATGTTTGAAAAATTACGTATCAGTAGCATTTGCTGTTATGTACTGGTACAATAGAAAGGAATACTGCAATATACATCACAGCAGCAGGCTAGACAGGTCCCACTGCTACTATCATGAATTTTAAAAGAAAGCTAAGGGAACATTAAAAAATAAAACACAAAAATGGGTTTAAGTTCAGAATTGCTCGATGATTGGCAACTACATACTGAAATAATAAACAGGAAAACAGACATGTGCATGAGTGTACCATCTTACACAACAGCAATACTCACTGTGTTTATTGCCATTCGAGCTTCAAAATTGTCCACACAGCTAAGAACCAGATCAACAGGCTTTCCTTCTTCTAACCCACCATTACTAGTTTGAAAAAAAAAAATTTTTAAGTCAGAAAACAAAATGCATTCTAATTAAGACTGAATTTGTGCAGTCAGTTTTATTCTTTCATTATAGGTTAAAGTATATAATATTTAAAATTAAAGATTCCATAAATATCAAGTGTTGATATCACTGACATTAAAAGGGTGAAGGAAGTACAGTCTATTCAGAAAAGTTCACTTTTCTCTATCAATTTTCCCAGACTTACTACATGCTCACTACAAATGTAAGTTTAGTAAAAAGTTAATCAAATGCAATCCATTATTTCAAAAATGTCCTTTCTAAAGAAAATCATTTTAGTACAGAAATACAATCTAAAATATAGAACTTTAAGCACCTTCTGTTAAATCATTGTAATGTTCAGATTTTTTTTTTTCTTTGTTTTTTTCGAGGGTTTTGATTTTTTTTTCTTTATTTGGACAGTTTTGTTTTGTTTTGTTTTGTTTTTCTTTTATTTATTTATTT